CCCCCCCCTTACTTGCTGCAGGCGGCCCTCCCCGAGTCCCCCTGCCCCAGCTCCCTCTGCCTAAATGCCGACGACGACCAGGGCGGCTGAAGATCCGGCCGCTGCGGTCACCGCCGAAGGACCTGAAATGCCGCCCCCCAAATGCTAGTGCCCTAGGCGACCGCCTAGGTCGCCTAAGGGGTTGCACCGGCCCTGTTTCTTATTACTTTTTTGCTTGTGTTGCCTTTTTAGATTGTAAGCTCCCTCTCTTTAAAACAGCCACCAGCAAAAATAGATGATCATTGCTGGCATGAAAGTAAATGCTGAGGCCTTTTAGGTCTAGCTCTAACCTTCTTTGAATGGCATAATTAGCAATGCCATTATAATATAGCATTCCAATTCCCTCTAAGTTTTGTCTGCTATTGATCATTTCAGAACTCGGTGTCTTTGTGTGAGCATTTAAGTATGAAGTGCAAAAACAATTCATTAAAATAAAGGTGAAAAAATTATATTTGCAATTATAAAGCACAATTATATTAAGGGACATGAAATTGGAGATAAACTTATTAAATAAATTAAATAGCACAATTGGACAAGTGAATTCATAATTAGTGTTTTCAGTTTGAATAAGTTAAAAATACAGTGAAGCATACAAAAATGTGATTATCGGTGTTTTAAAAAAAGTATAAAAGCACCATAAATCTTGCAACAGTGTACATATTTTTAGAGCATTTTCCCTATTTGTGCTGTGATCCGGAATAAGATCCACTTGGAATGACTCTTGCATTAGCACAGAGGCCAAACTGTCAGTGGTGATGTCCACAGGTGCCAGGGTCCACCCACCTTGATCCAATTGCAACATGTTTTGCAGCATCCAACCGCAAAATGTTAAGTGGCAGAAAACCAAAACAAATCCCTATGGGTGTTTTATTATTACAAATACATCAATGTGTAATTTGGCATTAATCTCAAATACAATTGCTTTTATATTAAAAAAAAAAGATAACTGCTAAATATTGCTGGTTCGTTCTATTGAGAGAGTAAAATAAACATAACATTTTTACCTCTAAAAATGAGTGATATACAACCATGCCCTATATTATAGAATACAAGCGCTTCCTCACCCTCTTTCCCCCCGTCCTTTTGTTCTCACCCCTGCTGCTCAGGCACAAGCATTTTACAGTCAAAAGAAATGATAGCTTTCATATGAATTAATATATATTAAAGATTACCACCACCCACGTATTACCTGACAGAGGTAAAAATGTTCCCCTCCCTGTTTTAAAAAAATATTTATTAGCTTGGGTATTATAATGGATTTTTCCACGACTACTCAAGGTGCATGGGGGGGGGGAGGGGAAGTGAATGTGCACATGGGAAATTATTATTTATCTAGAGTCAAGATCTTGCTTAATTAAAAGTATACATGGTGAGTACTGTGTAATATAGTAAGACCTGGCTTGTCTCATTTCCTTTTGCTGTGGCACCATGTTCTTAAGTTAGGCAGGGCAGAACTACTGGACTTTCCTGTGTAGTCCCTTTGTTTCACTGAACTGTCCACCTTGTTGGGAGCTTGCAGGTTGATGGATTCAACAGCAGAGTCAGGATTAGACCTCAGGAATGTCTTGATTCTTTTGCCTGGCTCAGTCACACCATTTGGCCACGTGTCTTTTCTAGGGCTTGATCCAAAAGCCCATTGAAATCAATGGGAATCTTTCCATTGACTTCAATGGGTTTTGGATCAGGGCCCTAGCACTTGCTGGAAGTCCTATCTGCTAACAGAGTATACAATCCAAGTTTTATGATACAATGCAGACTTTCCCCATTGAATGCTTGTGGTTTTGAAAACAGAAACACTTTTTTTTTTTTTTTTTTAAAGGACATATATTTTCTTATGCACCATAAGGCTCCCTGAGTATTTAACTTCTTTACTTACGCACCAGTAACATCAAAAAAATCCATCCTCCAAGCTATAATTGCAAATTCAGGGGCGGCTCTAGATTTTTTGCCGCCCAAAGCATGGCAGGCAGGCGGCTTTCGGCGGCATGCCTGCGGGAGGTCCCCAGTCCCACGGATTCGGCGGCACGCCTGCGGGAGGTCCGCCGGTCCTGCAGCTTAGGCATACCCACCGCCGAATTGCCGCCGAATCCGCGGGACTGGCGGAGCTCCCGCAAGGCTGCCTGCCTGCCGCCCTCATAGGGACCGGCAGGGCGCCCCCCGTGGCTTGCCGTCCCAGGCACGCGCTTGGAGCGCTGGTGCCTGGAGCTGCCGCTGTGGAAATGGAAAGTATCGTAGAGCCTTTTCAGGTGCTTCTGTGGGGAGAAATGTATTAAAATGAAGCTAATCTCCAGACACCTCAGATGCTGTCTCATGTTCATCTGACCTGTTGAGTTCAACCGAAAATGTGTGATTTCATATGCCACCTTCTAGCACGTTTGTAAATTGCAAAAGTGCACTTCCCGCTTGTGGCAATGAGTGTACTCACTTCATTGATGCTGATCTCAGCCTCCACATACTGCAGGCCTTTCTGAAGAATAGAGATGAGGGCAGCAGGTGGCACTAGTGTTCCATTGATGTTGGACTGACTAATGTGGCTTTCGATACCAAATGTAAAGGCCGAATGGGAGAAACCTGAAAGCAAGAAAGGAAGCCATGATATGAAATCTGAACTCATCAACATGATAGGCACCCTTTTCAATCTAAAAATATACTGTTTTAAACTGTGAAAGGCACTGACACATAAATGGAAAAATACAGTTTGATTGCATTAGGTCAGTTAGGTTAACAGAGCCATCTTACTGTTTCTTCTTCCCCTCCTCTCCAACTACATTTAATTTGTAAACAAAATTTATACAGAAATGAAAAGCTTTCATGATCAGTGTTCAAGTAAAAAATATACCTATTAAAACAACTCATGCTGGTGGCAAGTGCAGCTACTAAAAATTTGACTCGAATCTTCTGTTTCCTCTCTAATTTAGTATCAAGCTTTTCCAAAGCCAAATACTTTAATCTTTATCATTGCACAGGTTGCATTTGGCCAAGGCATACTTGCAGCTCACACAGGGGAGCCATTCTCTTTCAGAAGATAAGAAATACTCAATTCTCTGCCCACAGCTCTGATTACTGACTATAATCTGAAACGCAGAGCTTAGTCATTATAATATGAAACAACAACAAAAAGACGGAGGCCACTCTCATGGATCTATCTTCTGGAAGTGAACAGTAATAGCAAAAATAATGAATTGGAATGTATCACATCACAGATGACAAGCCAATTCACTGGCACCACTCCTCAGTTAACCGTAAGCCTTTCTCGTCCCCATTTCATTTGTGTCATCTTCCTAGGAAACAGCTGATAATAAAGCACTCTGCATCTCAAATTAAAGGATTTAGCGGATACACTTTGAAAGAAGGAGCTGCAGTTTAATCACTAGGGGAAACTAGTCAGAACTGTTGCTTTGTGCAAGAACAAGCATTACAACTTGGAAAAGTACCTGGACTGTGCATGTGAGTGGACATGTGGGAGGGGGGAAGGGAGAACAGGATGTAGATATAACTGTAGGAACCCATTTATCACCGCATTGTCTCCAGAGCATTAATCTAACATTAAAAGCCTTGAGGAAACCACCATTGCCATGTCTCAAACAGGAAAACCCTCACACTCTCCGCCGACTAGACGAGTGGGAGAAGAGAACAGCAGCTCTCAAATGAAAATACTTCCGTTATACATATCTACACCTCTTCCCCCTGTCAACAGTGGTTTAATTTACAGTTTTGTCCGTTAAGGGATTTCCCCCCATATCAATATTCTGTCCAACTATGTGTGGGGAGCGGGAGGGGACTATGGAGTTATTCCAGAATTTCAGGAGGGATGCTCTCTCTCTCTCTCTTTGAAAGATTATTTTGGCAACCAATCCAACCAACTATGATCCCAGTTAGTTGGATCAGTAGCAAAAAGAAACTCAGAAATACAATCTCCCCAGCCCCCTCAGACATCCCCCCACTGAAATTGAAATATTTGCTTTTTAAAGTTCCTCGCCTTCCCTCCACCCCCATTCTGTTATTTGTCTTCCCTTCCCCCTCATCTTAACTTCTGCCACTGTCTCCACATGTTGCCCCATGCTCCCCGTCCCTTTTGGGTGTCGACGTGTATGCTGAAGAGGTTCAGCTCTGGCTACAAGCCTAGTTCTGAAAAAGAATAATGGGTGACGTAAAGCACAGAACTGAGTGATCTAATTTATATCGCCCTGGTCCTTTGCTACTCTGTCCTGCCCTTCTCTTGTTTATTTGGTACCTGACCACCCATCAGATTAGATTGTAAGCTCTGCAGGGCAAGGACTTTTTCTTATTTGTTCTGTCAAACGTGTAAAGCACATTTCTGGCTGGTGCAAAAATAAGTAAATAAATAATAATAAAGTGAACCTGTGCTGGAGTGTGTCAGTCCAGAGCCCTGGTCTCATAACAGAGTCGCGTAACACTGAAATCTCCACATCTATGGTGTGTGACTATCCAATATTACCCAAACAGGTCCTACTTTATTTTAAATTTGTGCACATTATAACATTATTTTTTAAAGTCGGCTCTTTTTAGAATGGTGTCATTGATTTCATGGCCAATCTACTCATGCACTCATAAATGGAGAGTAATCGGGTGACTAAACTGTGGGTCAAAAGGCATTAAAGTTCACACAGAAGTTACGCTGTGATCCTGACAGGTAAGGATTTTGTAAGTGGTCTCTGGCTAAATCAAAGGATTGGCAGCATTAAAACTCCAAACCACCAAACCCTGGAGCAACAGATGTAAAGCTACTAGTGTAGATGTACACTAGGTTTCATTTTAACTACACTTTTACACCTGTTATTGCATCCTCTTTTCTGTTGGCAGGCTGAGGGATATATCTTGGGCCAGCAGACTGTAGGCTATAATTTGGGCCTGCAGCTAATCACCTTGCTCAATACTGAGGGACATGACACATCATTGAAGGCTGCTAACTCATCATCACCTGCTCGAACATGAAAATGCACTTATTCACCATGCAGAAGTCACATTAATACACACAGCTTCAAGGTTTTCATTTTACATCCTGAAAATATTAGGCAGGGAAAGGGACTTGAAACATGGATTTAAAAACAGATGTTTGGCTTCTAGCTTATATAAATGTATAGCATCTCTGCAGATGTTTAAATAACATACCATTACAAAAGCAACTGCCAGACAACAAAACAAAACAGTCATAGCTAGGGCATGAAAAAGCTAGAAAAAGCAATATTCAATCTTTTGAGCATCAGCAAGACAGCTTTCCTAACCTTTTAACAAATAAGACTGTAGTGTGAAAATCAAGGAGTGTATCAAACAAAGGTTGGCTGAATGAACAATATCTGATGTCATAATCCCTTTTAGAACAGTCTTGAAATTAAACTGTATATTTTAAAGAAGAAAAGAAATTTTCTCCTAGTTTCCTGTACTTCTCCAGCAACATTTTATAAAATCAACAGGGAAATGGACATTTTATACAGTGTATGCTTTTGAAGTATAACTCTCACAACAGGAAAACTGAATGAAGCTGCACAAATGTCAGGGTTCCAATGACATCGTAAATCACTTGAGCTTTGCTTTTATGGTTACCAGATGTCATCAGATCTCTTTGATGTCTGTGTACAGTATTATATAGTAGTGTTGTATCTCTCTATATTTCAGCCATACACAGAGAAGATCTCCATTAAACAAAGGCAAGTTTCAAAGGTTAGCTATTTAAATGGTCATGTTACATGGAGTTAACTTGGCCTCTCTTCTAAGGTTCAGAAACCCACATTAAGGAGCTAAAAGCCAAGAAACTGGAACACCACCCCCTCTGATGACTGTATGCAGACTGTTGAGGCAGTTGGGGAGGGGGAGAGCAGAGACAGAATGTGCTCTGCAAATGGTAGATATGATTTGATGGGGACAATTTGAATTTGTAATTGACTGAAACCAGACACACTGTCACAGTACTGAATAAAGCAGGAGAGAAAAGTTGTTGAATCTGTGGGCTTGGCTACATAGTGACACTCAGGAAAATCAATCCAAATTAACTAAAGGTGTGAATTTAAAGTGGATTAGTTAAACTGCATTAAACCCCTGTGGAGATACTCATAAGTAGCCATAATTTGGTTTAGTTTAATTGAAATAAAACTAAACCAAATTAAGGCCACTTAAATTCTGAATGAGGCCATGTCTACATTACAAAATTAAGTCGACCTAACTTGCATCAGCATACAGCTTCCACAGTAACTACATCGCTTGTGCGTGACTATACTTTGCTCCTTGTATCAGTGGTGCGCGTCCTTACCGCTCATGGAGGTGGAGTTAGGAAGTCTGCACAGCAGGACATTTATATCGTCAGGAGCAAAATTTAAGTGTAGACACTTCTATAGTTAGGTCGACATAAAGCTGTCTTGTACCAACCTAACTCTGTAGTGTAAACCAGACCTGAGAGTGTCCACACAGGGTTTAATGCACTTTAACTAAACCACTTAAAATTCACACTGAGTGTCCCTGTGTATTATTTCCCATAAACTAGATTTAATTTTCATCATTGCAATAATTCCACATTGTTCTATAAATTATTATTAATTTGTTATCTTGTACCACCAAGGAAATGGGACCATGTTGTGTTAATTCCTACACAGACACATAGCAAGAAATGTGGATCCTCTGAGGTAGTGACTATCCGTAAAGAGGTAAGAACAGTCAAATAGAGGGAGAGGGGGAATATAATGCCACACACTAGTTTCTTTCTGCCTCTCCTTCTCCCAGTTGAACAGGCTTGTCATCTGTGAGTGACACACTCCAATTCATTATGTTGCTATTACTGTTTGCTTCCAGAAAACAGACCCATCGGAGTGTTGTCCGACTCTTCTATTTTTTTTTTTTTTTTTGGCCATATTGTGAAAAGAGGAGAAAAGGTAAACAATCAAAATATGCGTAATTTATATATACATTATATACCTTTTAAAAAACACAGCAGCTCTACATGGCAGCTCCTTAATATAGCCATTATTAGTTAGCTGATATCTTGTAGGAATCATGGAAGAACTGGGCCTTGAAAAAGGATTTGATGGAGGACAAGATAATGGGCTTAGAATGAATGCAATGGAAACAGAATTTAAAAAAAACCCTAAAAATGTTAATATAAGGGCTACTTTGAAACAATGCATATTCCCTAATTCACACCAAAAATATATCTGACAATTGCACAAAATTCATGTTTTAGTCATTTTGCTTCATCCACAGAAAGTGAGATAAACATGAATTTTCCTCTAAATTGGTTATACATTTTCCCATTGAATATGGTACTTCTTAAAACAGTTTTTGTATGTGATATTAAAGGGACCGGGTATGTCAATTAGCTGTTGCCTTTTTAATTAACACAATTCTGTTCTTCGTCTGTAACCTGGCCACGTTGCAAGCTTTTGGGGGCAAAGATCTTGTCATTTTAAATTGCCTGTAATACACCTCGCACACTTTCGGAACAACAGCAATGCATTTCCAAAACACAGACACAATTGTGGGACAGAGTTATGCTGCCATGGCAATCTAAGTGAGAATTCCCTCCCTTCTGTGGATTTAGGTCTCAGCTGAAATGTGAGGTA